ATGCTAAAAACAGAAAAGTCATAAGTATGAGGTGATGAGTCTACATGAGCTGTGTCTTACGCTTAAATCTAAATCTCTGGGAGTCCTGTGTTAAAATAACATCTAATGGAGGATCATATAGTAAACCTTCAGTCTCATCTGTTACATGTTAGTGTTTGGGGTTTGGCTCTGAACCTTCAGAATGTTAGATAAAATGTTAAAGTAGACCCTGTGTTTGTCGCCTCTGTGAGTTTGTACCTTCTGCATGACCCTGTCCCTCTGTCCTAGTGACAATCACTGAACCTTCTTTAACCGATCTTTCAAATCTTTGATTTATAGGGTTCTGTCTTTACACAGAAGATCACTTTCTTTCACTTATCTCAGTGTGCCCAGGGCAGCTGTTGGTTCAGTAGTATTTTATGACCTTTGTGTTTGGAGTGACGCCTTTTTGAGGAGTGGTTTGTAAACCCCTGCATTATTATTATTATTATTAGTCTGGTTGTATTATAAAGATCTACGGTGGGAGATTTAAGAGTATATTATATTAAAGAAAGTCAGGTACCCAGTTTTAATAATACAATATCACATGTGGATCCTTTTGCATGACACTCTCTTTATTTTAGAGTATCAAGAGGATTTTGTCCATTTTCAATTGTTGCCATACCAAGGTGTTATTTCCTGATGTTTATAATAATTCTAAACACAACAATAGATATAGAAACAGCAGGGGCGTGCGGTGGAGGTTTGAGATTGGGGTGGCACAGACTTTAAAGTCAGATTTAAATCATTATTCAAAAGAAGATTGCATTTAATCACAATGCAATGACATCCACAAACTTTATTTACTGTTATGTTAAGAGAGAACCTGCTTCTTTTTAATTCTTCTCACAACAAATCTAGATGAGTCTGCTCCGCATCAAAACAACATCTTTAAGAAGCGCTGGTGCGAAGCAGACACGAGGAGAGAGAGACGCGAGGATGAGAGGAGCAGAGAGAGCAGAGAGGAGCAGAGAGACGGAGACGCGAGGAGAGAGAGAGACGGAGACGCGAGGAGAGAGGTCGCGAGGAGAGAGGAGCAGAGAGGGACAGAGAGGAGCATGGACGAGACGGAGTCGCGAGGAGCAGAGAGAGACGGTGACGCGAGGAGAGAGAGACGCGAGGAGAGAGGAGCAGAGAGCAGACAGAGAGGTCAGAGAGACGGAGACGCGAGGAGCAGAGAGAGACGGAGTCGCGAGGAGAGTGAGACGCGAGGACACATTTAAACAATAATGTAAAACAAGTTGCAGAAACTCTTGAGCAGTGTTGGACATCTGTGTTTGTCGGAATAGCACTACTTTGCCGGTATCTGTCAATGTTCATACTTAAACACAGTTTAACAAACTCTCCCCGCAGCGGACTAACCTCGTAAGTCAGTGGTGGTCTCCCAGTCTATATTATTTCTTGTCTTTGTTTGAAATTCAATTGTGAAAAAAAATCTTCATTCATAACATCCATTTTCCAGAAAAAGATATAGCATTTTGGGCTGATTGTTTGTTAGCAACTTGGTATTGAACTTTAGGCTCTCTATCACCCCTAGCGGTGAGGCACAGATCCGCCTGCCTCACGCCCAAGCTTTTTCTTGTGTGTTCATCTACGATCAAAAGCTTAAACTAAATTAAATTGTACACAATACGGGCCAATACACTATAAAAACTAAGATGAGGTTTAAAAAATGTTTTTAAAGCAGGATATTGTAACAAACGGTGATATATCAACTGCACGAGCTGAGTGCACTCAGACACACACACACACACGTGAGGGAGCGTTGGGGTGGAGGCACGCAGGAGCGTGCCTCACTCGTCTCTTTGATAGGAATACGGGATTTCGGCGATTTTGACTTCAGAATGATCAAAACTGATGGGTCGTGCCGAATATACATTAAAAGCATAGGACAGTGGATATAATTATATATTTAAAACTAAAATAATTATTAGTTTCCTATAATGGCAGGTGGAGGCTCTGCCGCCCCTGCTCCCCCTGACCTGCACGTCCTGAGAAACAGTACTTATCTTGAGGACTAACAAAGTTCGGTAATTCTCCAACAACAATTGGCGAATCAAACAACAGTTCAAACACAGGAAATTATTTTATAACAAACACTGGTGACATTGGTCCTTGATGGGAAGAGACCAATGCCCTTAGAGCTTCTGCATTAGACGAGCAACTCTTAGATATGGTGGGAGAAAGTGGAGATACCTCTGGGAGGCCCACATGTGAGGGTCGGATCTGCTCCGAAAGGTGACGATGGGTCTGTCTGATCCAGGATTGAGGCTAGAGAAATATAGTTTTAACTGGATTTGATTGGTACTGTTCTATTGAGATGGGACTCAGTTACTCTTTACTCGTTTCTTGTACTGGTTCTGATTGGATGGATACTTGTTTGGGTGACGGTTTTGAGATTTTCTTGAATGTGATCTTATACTGAACTAAACAATAACAATATTTCTGTGTGCTTCACACAGTGGTCTGCTCTGGTCTCTCTCATCTTTCTGCTCTCTCTCGGTCATTCTGGTCTCTCTCTGGTCTCATTCATGGTTGTGTTATTAACTGCATGTTACATCTGTCTTTTCAGAACAAACCACCATTGTTTCGGTTCTGCCTCTCCGTTGGAGATGTTCCTCTCGACCCTCTGCTGTCGGCCCCATGATGGTGCAGGTGCTGATGTTCTGAGGGTCTTCTGTTGCCCCTGGTGGTGCAGGTGTAGACTGTGATGAGGTCGTTCTGCCGCCTTCTGGTGTGCTGTTGCAGCATGTGCTGAGGGTTCTTCTGTCGCCTCCTGGTGGGTGCAGGGGCAGGACTGTGCGGTGGTCGCCAGTCCTCGGTCTTTGACTCGGTTCTGTTGATTTATGACTAGGTGTCGTTCCGTTTCTACCTCCTGAGGCTCTCACACTTCTGCAGTGTCCTCCAGTAAGTTTATACAGAGTCCTTAGTGTTTTTTATTTATTTGTTCAATTTGTTATTTCTATTTATTTATGGGTCCTGTTTAAAGAAGCTTTTACCAGATTTATTTTCTAATGAGTTCATAAAAATGCGTATTACTAAATACAAGTTGTATTAAATTCTGTAATTTTAATTGATATCTGTGAGTCACTGATTCATCTTGTTGTATGAATTCAGGCCGTAAAAGTGCTGAGTAGAGACTTAGCGTGACGCCCGCTCTCCTCCACTCACAGAAGGAACGAGCAGCGCTGTTACTAAGAGGCTGCGCTCTCTTGCCTCTACAGCGCTGCTTAACACAGTTGCAAGTTTGCATAATGGCTAGAACTCTCTTGCTGTAACATACAAACACAAGCAAAACAGCGCAAACGACACAACAGTGAGGAAGAGAAGAGGGAACTAAAGCGGAAAAAATGATCAAGAAAAATCAAGCTGGGTGACATATGCTCTAGTTACTCGTATCCTCTGAAGAGAATTGTCTATGGGAGAGACCTGCAGGTGAAGTTGATCGCCTCGGATACTTTGGACGCAAAAACTACGCGGTAATCTTTCAGCTATATATTGTGTTAGCAGTGCCGTTGCTTTTGTACCATTTCTTCAGTGATTGTTGCTCAGCTTACAAGAGTTGCGCTCATGTTAATGTTGCGTATGTATCAGATCGCAAATAAAAAATAGGTGGCTCCGTGGAATGAGAGCGTAGGGGAAATGAGAGCTGTGAGCGAGTTGAGGGGCGGTGCTAAATATAAACTGAAAAACCTGCAGAAAACGGGTATAGCTCCTTTTAATAAAAGAATAAATCAAATTTACAGACTTTTGAATGTTTGTAATGTAATGTTGGTTGTACCTATATTTCAACCACTGATGTTAAACGATGTAATAAAATCCATCAAACTATTAGTGTTATTGCTCAAAACATTTGGTTACGTAACACTAGTTTTCACATCATTTATTGACCATGATTGGGTAAGCTGCTTGATTTGTGCAGTGGCTAATTTTATTGTATTTTATTGTATTGTTACGTGTAGCACGTTACATTACAATAAAATTCAATACATTTATTTGTGTATTAGCATAAATCACTACCAAGCAGTCATCTTAGAGGGCTTAACCAAAAGATTGAATCTCCAACACAGTTCAGTGAATCAAAGTTATGACACAAAAAAAGATATAGTAACATGTTGATAAATGTCCATAATTTGTAGAATTTTAAAGTGTGCTGAGCTGGATCATCACCACAGTCCTTTTTGTGTGACACTACGCTACAATAACTTCAAATTCCCTACACAGAAGCTATACCTACCCTTTATATATGTAGCAAGGCTAAGTTACACATCTTGTCAAAAGTAGCTTGATTTGTAGTAGCTACGAAAGCTATTTTAACGGAACTGCAATTCGATGCATTTTATTGATCAATACAACTCTCTGTCAGAAAAAGGCTGAAGTATGTTTAGATATTTTTGTTTTTTAATGGTGATTTTGTCATTATTATTTAAAGTGGTGTTTGCCGGCTCTTGATCCTGGTGCAGACGGCTCCTTGGCTGACGCCTTTTCTGTGGTTTGCATTGAACCCTGCCAAGTCTCTTTTCATGGTATGTACTGTTGTGTGTGTGCGGAGTGCGTAATCTTTTCCACCTACAGTCTCTCTACTAAAACCTTCAAACAAGTTCTTATATCTCTAGAACCATTTAAGATAAGCCATGGTTGCTTCTGAGGTGAAGGGCGGGTGGTGAGGGCTATGATGTTCTTTCATACAGACTTGAAAGTAATGGGAAAGTCCCCACTGCATCGCCCCCCCCTGCTTTACACCTTTATGGTAAATTATATTAAAATTATTTGTATAGCCATGTCTTCTGAGTCTTCAGGACAGTGGGGTCCCATATGCACGGGCCTGTCATAGGACCCCACCATTTTAGGCCATAAACGGTGTGTGAACCACGTGTGTATGAGACATAACAGGAAGTGTAGGCATGACACATTCCTGCCTACAATTACCTTGTTGTATACCTACACGTGGTGCACACACACGTTTTGGCTAAATGGTGGGGTCATATGACGAGGGCCGTGCCATTTGGGCAACAAACACCACCACACACACCCCACCACCACCCACACCCACCCCCCCCAACCCACACACCCACCCCCCCCACCCCCCACCACCCACCCCCACCCCCAACCCACCCCACCCACCCCCCACACCCACCACCACACCCAACCCACCCCCCCCACCACCACCCCACACCAACCCACCCCCCCCCACCACCCCCAACACCCCCCACCCACACCACCACCAACACCACACACCCCCCACCCCCACCCCACCCCAACACACCCACCACCCACAACCCACCCCACCCCACCACACCCCAACCACCACCCCCACCACCCAACCCCACCCCCCCACCCCACCAACAACCCCACCCACCACCAACACCACCCACACCCACACCCCCCCACACACCCACACACCACCCACCACCCCACACCCAACCCCACCCACCCACCACCACCCCCCACACCCCCACCACCACACCCACCCCACAACCCACCACACCCACCACCCCCACCCACACACCACACAACCCCACACACCCACCACCCCCACCCAACACCACCCCCCCCACCCACACCCCAACACCACCCCACCCCCCAACACCACACCCCCACCCACCCCACACCCCCACCCCCACCCCCCCACACCCACCCACCCCACCCAACCCCCCACCCCCACCCACCAACACCCACACCACCCCAACCCCCCCACCCACACCCCCACCACCAACCACAACCCACCCCACACCCACCCAAACCACCCCCACCCCCCCCCCACCACCCACCACCCCCACCCACACCCCCACACCACCCACAACACCCACCCCCACCACCCCACCCACCCACACCACCCACCCACCACCCCCAACCACCCCCACCCACCCCAACCCCCCCCCACACCACCCCCCCCACACACCCCCCCCCCCACCCCCACCCACCCAACCACCCACCCCCACACCCCACCCCCACCACACCACCCCACCCCCCACCACACCCACCCCACCCACCCCAACCCCACCAACCCCCAACAAACACCAAACAAACCAACCCCACACCCACCCCCACACCACCACAAACATCACCCCACCCCCACACCCCCACACCCACCAACCCCCAACAACCCACCCCCACCCAAAACCACACCCCCCCCCACCCCCCCACCACCACATCAACCCCCACACCCCCCAACAAACACCCACCCACCCTACCCCCCCCCCACCCCCCCCCATAACACACACACTTCCCCAACCAGACCCCCCCCATCATCCCAAACCCTCCCCACTACCAATATCACACCCTTCCTACACCCTAACACAACTACTATTCCCCTAACTCAAATACCCACCAACCACACAAACTAACACCCAAACATACCAACACCCCCAACCCCCCTCCCCACAACCTTCCCCAAACCCCCCATTATCTCCACTACCCCAGTTTTCCAATTCTAAAGAAGGAATAATGGAATTATTAGGTAGGAATTATGAGTAAGACAGAACTTGATATCACTATATAATTTAAACATATTTTAAATATCAAAAATAAAACCCACACATGTATTACCCAAAGTCTATGGATAAGAGTCCATGGATGTTACCCAAACGGACAGTAACATTTAAAAAAGAAAACGATGTAACAAAAACATCTTTAGGATTAATGATCACTTCAAGTATCAACCGCGAGTAATTAGTTTTTATATCAACACTTCATTGGGTGCTGTTTCAGGGTACTTGGAGTGACTGTAAAGATTTGTTATCTGACATTACTTTTTACAGGCTGTGAATCGGCTTAGTCTCTCTGAACACTACAGGATGCCATTTCTCAGAACAAAGAGATTCCATTCCTGTGTACCTAACTTTTAAACCACAAAAATGAAAACAAAAACTAAAAAACAAAACCCATGTTTTAGTTCCTAGGTTTTAAAATAGTTCTATCACTAGTTTTCATATGCATGTACTAGCCTTCATTCAGCCATAGGCATCATGTTGCGTTCTAATTTGTTCGCAAAATGTTACTTAAAAAATACTCTTTCGGACAAACAAAATACTGTATATTTATGAACCAATAACAAGTTAGCTGCACCAGCTTCAAGGATATCACATATAGAAATCAAACTAAAACTCTAAAGATAATAGACAGTCTTGTTTACGCTACTAAAAACATGGAAAAGCACTGAACCAACACACAAATACAAAAAGAGCTCCACCAAACTTTATATCCATTATATTTCCATTCTTTACCAATCACATCTCCAGCATACACAAGTGCATGTAAAGAATGGCTGTCCAGTAAAGGTAAATATTGTTGTGTTGATTGATAGCGGCCCAGGTCCATTTATTCAGCAGCTCCTTTCCGGTGACTGCTGCGAGGCACAACCCAATTCAATCTCTAATGGGAGGCCAGTGCTCACGCAGGGCCCATGTCCTCATGTGTGCTTTATGATAAATTTGGACAGCATGCAAGTTTCCCTCCACTGTCACCCACTCTCCCCCCTTTCGGCCCAACAGACGAGCAGCATGTGGGGAGGCGAGATGTAATTACCCAATCAGTGTGTGCCATCCTTATTAAAACACTACTAACAGAGCTCCATTATTGAAATACCCCCCACTGGACTCCTCTTAATTCATTAAATAAATTAGCACCGCTGCCTTTAATAATTCATAGTACCATGTCTACGGTTTTCTCCCACGCAGCGGGTAATGAGAACAGAACCGTGACACAGAGGCGAGACTGAGAGATGATACTCTGCACTGAGAGGCTAGTCATGAGCAGCACGGTGTGACCATCAGCTGCGATTCTAGTGCGACTAGAAATAAAACCACTATTGTATATCTATAGCATAAATTTATGGCCGCTGCTTTGCTCATCAGCCGTGTGGTCAGATGAAGCGTCCCAGAAGAAGTCCCTCTTAAAAGCACATCTTGTTTGTTCTCCCTCATGGCTTGCAGAAAGTCTCTGGTGTAACTCTAATTTGTGTTGTATTAATGTGCTAATGAGAATATCCTTGAGCTATGAGAAAGTACGAGCGGAAACACAAATAAAGCAGGAATCCAGTGAGGGATCCGGCTGTGTCTCCACATATCTTTAATTGACACATCTGCATCCCTGATGAAATATTCAGCCCCTCTGAAGACGGCGCAGCGGTGCGTGGCCATCAGCGCCAGCACGCCGCTGGTAAAGTCCACATGTGATTGTCTTATTGATGCTTGGAGATCGACGAGCTGATATAAGGATCCTTAGATCATCCTCCTACATATGTAGCACTCTGTGTAATTATTAGGGACCTTTTATTTTTTATTATACTGTTATTCTATGTGATACACATGCTTGGTATCAACATCAGAGAGATGGCAATATACTGTATATGGCAATACTCAATAGTGTTCCATCAATTATCATTGTTTTAGGTTTAGCATAATGATAGTTTATTAGTATATTATAGAGGTGCTTTCAACTAATTCAATTGCTCATGTAGAAATACACATTAATTGGCATTCTAAAAAGACACAAGAATGCTGGCGAAAGCCAAAAGTGTAGCACTTTCCCTACATTTACAAATGTCAGGGTATATTAACAGATGCTAACCCTAACCTTTTGTGACCATATTTTGAATAGCAGAGAATATCAAATTCTGTTATTTAAAGTTGGTTGTTTTGTTAATTTTGACTGAAAATATTCTATGCCTCCACTGCCCTCCGACCCGACAACAGATAGAAAATGTTGGATAAGCTAGGCAAGGCAAGGCAAGTTTATTCATATAGCACAATTCATACACAAGACAATTGTGTGCTGACAAAAGTGCTGAACAAAATAAGAAAGCAATAAAATCATAAATAATCACAGAACATTAAAAAGAAAGATTCAGATTAGATCAGATTCAGATTCATTTATTTGCCATTTGCAGTAAAACCACATTGGAAAAACTGTGCAAGACTACCCCGGTGTGCACCAGATAAAAATATAAAATCCCTCAGTTGTATGCACAGCTGAACAGAACTGTCTTTAACCTGGTTTTAAACATTGTCAGAGAGGAGGCCTGTCTCACACTTTCAGGAAGACTGTTCCAGCTATGCTTCTTAAAGAGGTTATCCACTGGAGGAATGCTCACTTTTTGATAAATGCTAATGAAGCATTTAGCATTTTAATTTGGACCAGAGCAGAGAAAATGGTCCGAACCAAGCGGCAACTCCACCTTTTGGCCCATCCTACTCCACCCAGGGGCTACTCCACCTCTGCAACTGTGACCCGTCCAGCTCCACCCAGAGCCTACTCAACCTCTGCTACCATGACCCGTCCAGCTCCACCCAGAGCCTACTCAACCTCTGCTACCATGACCCGTCCAGCTCCACCCAGAGCCTACTCAACCTCTGCTACAATGACCCGTCCAGCTCCACCCAGAGCCTACTCAACCTCTGCTACCATGACCCGTCCAGCTCCACCCAGAGCCTACTCAACCTCTGCTACCGTGACCCGTCCAGCTTCACCCAGAGGCTACTCCATCTCTGCTGCTGGGACCGGAAGGACTGTTACTATTGTTAGCTTTTTAGAACGATCGATTTTATTTCATTTTTTTTTTTTTTTTCTGCTACTGGACACCTGAATTTCCCCTATGGGGATCAATAAAGTATCTATCTATCTATCTAAACACAAACTGAAACAGTAAATAGGTTGGTGTTTCAGGGGTCCACTGTAAGCACCAGGTCCACGATGCTGTGCCTAACATAGTCATGTGAGGGGGTGTTTGTGGATGAGGCCTCTCAGCCATGTCAGGGGCCGCGTCGTGGAGGGTGGCAGGCGGTCGGGGAAAATGATGATGATGAAATTAAAATTCTGCAGCCGGCAGAAGGGGCTGCCACCATTTCACTGGCGGCTGTGCGCATCGATCTGTTCCAGCATTTGACTTTCAACCATGACAAAACTGTGGGCAAATTAATTGTTCTCCAGGATATTAGGCATCAGAGTCCATTAATCCTCTCTGGAGCTCCACGCCACATGAATACTAATCGTCTTTCCAGGCAGACGGCTCATCCCTCGCACACACTCTTCCAATGAACTGCTTGTATTTTTATCACTCTTATTACTTTTTATTATTATTTAATTTTTACAAACAGTATTGTGAAAAGAATGTGAGAGAGGTGTATGGCCAGAGAGTGTTTGGGCCTTTGTCTTGTCTGAGTGTGTGTGTTTTGTTTGTGTTGTGTTATGACATTGGTGGTGCTGGATTGTGTTGTGTTTGTACTGTGTATGTATGTGTATATATATTGTTATGCAAATTGTATGATGCTGTTTTTATATTTAGTTTGAAAAGGGATAAGATACTTTAAGTGTTTGCTTCATCTAACAAATTTGAAAACATTCTGCTGTTAACATGTACAGATGTAAACATACTGCTGCTAATGTACAGATGAAAACATTCTGCTGCTAACATGTACAGATGTAAACATACTGCTGCTAATGTACAGATGAAAACATACTGCTGCTAATGTACAGATGAAAACATACTGCTGCTAATGTACAGATGTAAACATACTGCTGCTAATGTACAGATGTAAACATACTGCTGCTAACATGTACAAATGTAAACATACTGCTGCTAATGTACAGATGAAAACATTCTGCTGCTAACATGTACAGATGTAAACATACTGCTGCTAATGTACAGATGTAAACATACTGCTGCTAACATGTACAGATGTAAACATACTGCTGCTAATGTACAGTACAGATGTAAACATACTGCTGCTAACATGTACAGATGCTAACATATACAGTAACTACACTTTGCTTGCACTAGAAAACACAGTACTTTATACTTGCCTCTTATTGCCAAATGTTAACCTTTTACACCTCTTTTATTATTATTTTCAAGATAGAGGTATTATACTTATTATTGATGCTAGAGTTAGAGATGTTGTTTTATTTTAATTAGTACAGCTATTGTTCGCTTACCTTGTGCCGTGTGCTCCTCTTTCCTACTGTTCTATAACTTGTGATGCAACACTGAAATTTCCCCACTGTGGGACGAATAAAGGATCTCTTAATAAGACTGAACATTGTGGCTAAAAACAAATGTGTTAAATATCTAAGTATATCAGTACTCAATAAGAAAACATAAATAATCCATTTGAATTTTGAATCAATACAAATAATATTGCTGTATATTGCCATATAGTTTTTTTAAACAAAAAAAATATGATATGTTTATAAATAAATCATAAATAATACAACA